CTTTCTAAAGCACGAGACAGACGTAAACACGCCGTCGAGCTCTGAACAAAAAACACGCGCACACACAGCGAAGACTGGTGCTGCGGACCCCCCCCCCCCCCCCCACCTAACTGACAAATCCGACCTGCTGGACCAATACATACTGCTGAACGTATGTACGTGTGCGTACGTACCTCGACCCGAAGCGGCGGGATTAGCGTCCTTCTCTTCCTTGAAACCGTCGAGCAGCAGCACGGAAAGCCGCTCGATCACCCCGCTGGTTCCTTCGCCGGAGCCGCCGGCACCGCCACGGCCCGCGGCCCCGGGACCCTGCGCCGCCGGCCAGCACGGAAAAAAACGTCGGCAACGTCGGCGGCGTCGGGTACACGTTTGTGTCTGATGCGCGTGTGTTCCACCGATTGTTTGATTGCACCCCGATTTTGGGAGGGAGTTGATTCGATGTCTTCGTCACCCATCTCACTCACAGCCAAGTAGAGAACAGGGGGGGGGGGGGCTTGACCAACAACGGCAGCACAAGCTAGCGGTAGCTACCGACGTTTACCGGCAAGAGATGCTTGTTCGCTGCCACTGTTTACAGGGGTTTGCGCGCCCGATTCTCGGGGGCTCCGCAGCAAAAGAAAAAAAAGTACTGGGGTATAAAAAAAAATGGTCCGCGTCGTTCTCGGCCTCTGTTTCCGCTGTTTCGGGCCAGGAGATCCAAAAAAAGGGGGGACAGCGTCCGGCTGTACGCGCAGCACGCAGCACACAGAGCAGCAGCGCACGCCAAGCAAGCAAGGAAGCCACACGGCAAAACCCAGGAGCGAAATGAGAGTCACGAGGACGACAATGCCAAGCGCAGCGCCGGGTGGTAGAGAGCTAGTTACAAGCTGACCTTTCCCCCAGCGTTGCTGCCAATCGAACACAACATGCACAGAAGTAATCGGTAGGCACGCTCTGCAGCAGTACCCACCACATGCGATGGTGTTGCTTCCCTCACACCACCACCACCACCACCACCACCGCATCTCCTCCGTCTGAAGCAACAGAAAGACCCAGAACCTTGTCGATCAACCACCACCACCACCACTGCTGTAACGCTTCTTTCACCTGCAGGTAGATTCCGTCGATGCTCCCGTTGTAAGCCAAAAGCTGCCGGAACAGAATGAGCCTGGCTTCGCCAGACGCTGTCCACAGCTTGCCTCTCAGCCCGGAGCGGTAGACGCTTCGCTCCGACGCGCGGTGCCTGCTTGTTACGTTTCGTATTCGTTGTTACGGTTACCGCACGTGGTGCGCACAGCAGGCGGGGGCCCGCAAAGAGGGTGGTGTGTGACCCGCGAGACAAACAAAAACAAAAACCAAACAAAACAAAACAAGGGCGCATTTGGCGCATCCACCGGTATTGTGCTCGCTCTGTTTGTACAGCAGCAACAGCAGCAGCAGCAGCAACAGCACCGAGGTATATACCAATAAATGCGTGACCTTGCGGTGCAGCATGTCCAGCGCCTTACTACGGCATTGGCGCCCAAATAAAAAGTGACATGAAATGATGGCGGCAATATGGACCGCGCGACAAGCACCGGCGAAAATCCGTTACCCCCGAGCCGAGCCGAAAAAAATCAGGGTACAAGTACACCTCGGGGAAAATTCCCGGCGTTTTTTCCCGCCGTGGTCGGCGGTCCCGGTTCTGGCGGTAATTACCACCACTTTTCGGTGGTACTGGCCGAAGGCGGTACCGCCTAAAAACGAAGTACCGGGAACCGCCTAAAGAGTACCGCCACATTGAAGTACCGCCCCGCCTGTACATGTATCCGCCTAAAAAAACGGTACCGAGGTGTACCCTGAAAAAAAATAGGCGGCTACACCTACACACGAACCACCCCCCCCAGCGCCATCCATCCATCCATCCATACCTTACGACGACCCACACCCGTTCGCCATGCGACGCTCTCCTCACTACATCTCCACGTCACGTCGCGTCGACCCACCCACCCACCCACCCACCCACCCGCATCCGGCGACCGCAGTGTAGCTAGCGCAGACCTACCTGAGAGCGGCTTCGAAGACGCCGGCGATGACAACCGAGACGTGGTCAAGCAAGGGCAGCCTGTCCCCCTCCTCCAGGGAAGAGTCGAACAGCAGCGCTTTCGCCAGGGGCGTCCGCGAGGCGCCGTCGATGGAAGAAGACGGGGCGACCTCATCCAGCCTGCCAATCATCAAAAAAGACAAAAAAAACAAGCAGAAATCAATCACAACAACAACACATGAGACAGACGCCGGAATGCTTGCTTAGCCTTCGACTCTTTCCTGTCATTCTTATGGAATGCTCAGATTAACTCTTTCGTACTGAGATCGGTCGGGGGCGGTGGAGCGCAATTCCTCACAGCAGTCAGCCGATAACCTGTCTGATGGTAGTGGTTCACAATCACCGAGCAAGCCTTGAAATTCCATACTGCTGTAACGTAGGACACTCGCTTTTGGAGGGAGGGACAGAGGAGCAGCTCCCCTCTGGGGTGTAAGCACGAGCCAACTTTTTCTGTGCATGTCAATGGCTGTGGGCAGAATCGATCGTTCTCGAAGTCATCCCCGCGATCGTTCCGTGTCGGGAGCTTGATTCGGGTCTCGGGGAACGGGAGACCCGCGGTGACGAGGGACAGCGAACCGGGGAAGAAAATACGAAGGGGCTTCTTGCCTTTTGGGCAAAGGAACGGGGGGTGATCACTGCTCGCCCCGATGCGCGGCACATCCTCGCAAGCTTCTGACACACACACATGCCAAAAAAAAGAGAAAGAAGGCGGGCATGCACAAGGTACAATATTCCACACCAAGCACGGGACCTGGGTGTGTGGAGTTCCACGAAGGCGTCCAACACTCCCTGCGTGTGCTCGAAGTACCGGTCCCGTTCCGACGCAACTGCCGCCGCCGCCGCCGCCCCCGCCGCCCCCGCCCTCGCTTCCCTGTTCCGCAAGGAGAGCTTGACACAGCCTTCCAGCAGACCAGCCGCCTTCGCGCCGACGTGCTTGCGCGAGATCGAGTCCTAAAGAGGTTTTCATGGTTATCGGTTCGAAGGCGGGGGCAACGTTAGAGAAAGAGAGGGGGGGGAAGGGGTGGGAGGGAGAGAGGGAGAGGGAGAGATAAGAGATAGATAGATAGATAGAGATAGATAGATAGATAGATAGATAGATAGATAGATAGAGAGAGAGAGAGAGAGACAGAGATACAGAGATACAGAGAGACAGAGAGAGAGAGAGAGACACACACACACAGAGAGAGAGAGAGAGAGAGAGAGAGAGAGAGAGAGAGAGAGAGACAGACAGACACAGGACACGCAGCATGGCCTTCGTGTGGAAAGCATGGGCAGAAAGGCGCGCCGATGTCGACTAAAGAAACACACACACATTTCGCAGACGTGTGCAATCTGTTGCTACCGTTTCTGTCTTTGATCCGGAGAAAAGGTTAGTCTCCCCCATGCCGCCCCCTCACGGGGTCCCAGCTAATGGCATTTAGAAGTGTTTTGTTCTTGGTTTTCACCCGCACTGAGACTGACGTCTTTTCATTGGTCAGCCGGTTAGCGCGGTCGATGCAAATAACAAACACACACACACACACACACACACACACACCTGCAGCTCGCAGAGCCTGGACGCCGCGGCGACCTTCTCCCCGCACTCCGAGAGCGCCGCCCGCCCGACCGACGACGCCCCCCAAGCCCCGGCGTCCAGCAGGACCCGCACCAGCGCGCGCTGCCTGCGTGCCTTCTCCCGGAGAGCAAGGTGAACGAGCTGGTGCGGCGACGCGAAGGCCGAAGGGTGGCGCCAGGAGCCGTTGAGAACCTCCAGCCCGGCCTGTGTCCAAGGGCCCGCGGGGGTGAGGGTGGGTGGGTGGGTGGGTGGGGGGGGTCAGTAGCGTTGGGATTGGCAATGGTGCTCTCGGAGCCGAGGACAGATGAGGGCACACTCTCCTGCTGTGTTTGTGTGCAGCGGCACAGTGAAGGAGGGGGGGGGGCAAAGGGAACAATACGGCGGGCGCGTAGCCGGCGCCGGTGGTGGCTTCAAGCGGACCACCCACCGGGGGGGCTGAGAGCATGCTTGTGCCTTGACCGCCCCCCCGGGCGTGACAAGACAATCGCGCTCTCACGTGCACGTGCTTGCGGCGGCGAAAAAAAAACTCTCGTCTCGTGCCTGAATGTACCTGAATGTGGCCCTTGCCTCTCGCCGCAACGGGTTTGGGTCCCTCCCACCCCTCCGCGGCGGCGTTCACACGACCGCATTCAGCCCGTTTCGCGGGAGCTCAACACAAACAACTCTTCGGCAGAGGTAGAGGCGAAGAGACAAAACAAAGAAGAACAAACAACCCCTGCGAATTCGCCGCAGCTGCCACAAAGAGGGACCAAGTGCCGCCAACACAAAAAACGTCTCTTTCCTTCTTAATCCCCGCTACAGGCCCTACCCCAACGGACCAAGCACATCCTACCCAAACGATTGCCGAGTCGAGGTCTTCCGTCGAAGACATGGCCCCGCGGCCGGTCTCTTGGGCGGCGCGGCCCAAAAGCGACCCCACCGCCAACCTTGCCGGGTCCATGGTCTCCCCGTCCTCGAAAGCTCTCAGCCCTCCCTGAATAAACACCGACGTCGTTTGAGATTTGTTCCGTTGAGATTAGGGCGCGGGGGGGGGTGGGGGGGTGGGGGTGTACTCATAGTCGTGCATGCCGTAGTCGTTTGACCATTGACCTCGCATCCCTACAAAGCCGGGACGGAGCACGCCGGGTTCTCACCGGACCAGGCTCTCACATCACCAAGCGCGAAGCGCCGTGAGGTATTTGGCGAGTCGCATGAAGGGTGAGCTGCATCCTGCTAAGGGTGTTCGGCATCTTGTGCTTACTTCCTTGCGTACGGATGACAGCTACGTATGACTTAATTTATTTTCTGGTGCTTTCACTTCCAGAGACAGTTGTAAGCACTGTGTAACTGCCTCGAGGAAGCTTGACCATTTTAACACAACGTGGTGCGATCATCCCCCGTTGCGCGGAGTGAGGTTTCTCGACCCCGCACAACATGATCTACTCGACCACCATTATGGTTACCGCCAAAAAAAAAACCAGAGGTAAAAAAAAACCGGTAACCTGGTTGCCGATTTCACGAAGTGAATTGGCTTGTTTTACAACGTCGTTGCCAAGCGACGAAAACCCAAACCCCGATGGCAAACACCGGGGGGGGCGGCTTGTTTTACAACGTCGTTGCCAAGCGACGAAAACCCAACCCTGATGGCAAACACCGAGGGGGGGGGGCGTACTCATGCTTTGCATGCCTTAGCGGTGAGGCCATCGACCACGCGTCCTCGAGAGGAAGAAGCAATGTTCCTACGGGTCTAGATTAGGGGGGGTGCGGTGGAGGACAGCCGGCTGGCGCTAAGAGTATCGAGAGGCGAGATGGGTTCGATTGGAGCGGTCGAACCGCTAAGGAGAAGGTCGGGCGGGGGAAGTTAGTTGATGGCGGTGTTCGTCTTGTCTTGGTGTTGCAAAAGGTGGGATGTGCATGCTATGCTCCTGGAGGAAAAAAGGGGAAAAAAACAAAACAGCTGGTAAAATCCAGCCGGCGTGCGGATTCATGGCACGTATTTAGACCCTCGACACGCCAAACACAAAAACGAGTGGTGCACATGTGCTAATACACCTGGTGCAGGCGAGCGGCAAGGAAGGCAGTCGACAGAGCAGGTAGAGACAGAGTTGGTGTAGCCTTTCGTACGTCCGCATTGCGCTGGAAACACTCATCGAACTGAAACAACAACAACAACAACACCACCAACAACAAACACAACAAAGCCAACACCAACCACACCAACAACAAACCAACCCCAATAACCAAGTATCACCTCAACCAACGCCATCCTCCACTCCTCGCTGGTGTCGTTACCGGGGATCGCCGCAACCACCTCCGGACGCGGCCCGAGGTCCACTGCCAGACCAGCCGTGGCCGGCGGCGGCGGCGGCGGCGACTCTGTGTGCCGGGGAGCCACCCACACGGCCTGCCCCTGGCTGGACAGCAGCACCACGCCGGGGCAGCCGAGCAGGGCCCCACCTCCGCCGACGCAGCCGCCCGAGAGAGCCGTCCTGGTCCGGAATCGCGGGCCGGGGATTCGGTTTGTCTTCCATGGGTTTTACTCTTAACTGGATGCCTGCCATATTGCGACGAGAGACCGACTCCACGAGACGCCATCGTGCTATGGTTATGGTACGCGATATACACGAGAGAGCTCACGCCCTTGCTCCCCCGAAAACATACGCTTTTCTACGAGGGCATGCCACTACTAATACTATTACTAATACTATTTCCACTCACCTGCTGGACACCGTCACCGACCCACGCTCCTCCCACTCGATGACCTCCTCTCCGCCGCCGCCGCCGCCGCTCGCGCCGTCTCCGCCCCGATCCTTGACGCACACACTCCACACCTGCGCGGTCGCCGTCCCCCCTCCCCGGACGGACGCATCGGGAGAAGTCGATGAGGGCCAGAACACGTGCGCACCGATGCCGCCGCCGCCGCCGCCGCCACCGACTCTTGTGCCGTCCCCGGTGGAAAACGCCTGCTCGTTGTCGGCCACGAGAGTCGCGCGGCGGCAGCCGGGGCCTAGGGAGGCTGGCGCCGAAGGGTTAGATGCGGCCGCGCGGAAGGCGGGTTGTCGCCCCCTGCGCCCTGATGCTGCTGCTGCTGATGCTGCGGAAGTGGTGGAGACGTGGTGGGACGAGATGACCTATGGTTTGGTCCATGCAAGTCGGCGAACAACATTTTGGCGCACAAGAAAAGGGGCCAAGAAAAGAGGCGGCGGCGGCGGCGGCGGCAGGGGAGACAGGTTTCAGTGGGCGGGCGAGGGGTGTTCGGTGATGCGGCAAGACCACCAACAAAACCGCCCCGTCACATTCGTTCCCGTACCCCTATACATCCAAGCCGTTTCCAAATAAAGGCCGCAAACCGTTTGTGACACCCACACCCACACACCATGCACGCTGCGGTGGACGACCCAGGACCAAGAAAAAAACACAAAAAACAACGCTGTTTGCGTTCCGACACCACCATCACATCACATCACACCTGGACGGAAACCGAGCTCCCCACCCAAGACGCCTCCCCACAAGAAACCCTGACAGCATGAACGGACAACTCTCCGCCGTCGCCGCCGCCGCCACCGCCGCCGCCCTCGGCTCCCCCGTCCCCATCCCTCCCGCTTCCTCCGGCCGCCGCCCCCGCCGCCGCCAGAACCAGCAACTCCAACCCCCAGCTCACCACCGGGGGCGACGCAGACGCCTCACCACCGCTCGCGGGGGGGGGGGACACGGTCGTCGGAGCCCCCGTCACCGCCACGTCCAGCAGGCACGCCTGCCTTACCCCCAGCGCCCTCTGGATCTGACTTGCCAGGGGGTGACGCACCTCGAGACACGGCGTCCCGCCCCCAACGCCGATGCTCCAGACCTCGAGGGTGTCCGTGGTGAGCCGCACGACGCGGGAGGGGATGCCTGCGGGGCTTCCCCCCGGGGGTCGAGCCACCGACAGAGCGACGACGGGGCTAGCTGAAGCTGCCGTGGTGGCGGCGGCGGCAGTGGCTTCTCCCTGAGGGGGATCCACAGCTGGTGGGGTCCCCCCCCCGGCAAGCGTTTTTTGCCCAAGGTAGTTTTTAGGGGGGGGGGGGGGTTACATGAGCGTGAGCAGTCGGCGGGGCGACGATTCAAGGAGATAAGATAAGAGCATCGGGGACGAATCCCAAGCACGGTAGCGTGGCGGTGAAGCAGCTGTATTAGTTGTTTGTTGTTGTCTCTCAACACAGCAGTTGAAACTTCTCTTTACTACTGCTGTAGTAACGTTCTTTTTTGCAATTTCACGACAGGAATTCTTCACCACAACACCACTGCCAATACACTCCAACTCGCGGGCTCACTTCACCCAACTCGCTAGCGGGCAGTGCTTACCCCCATCCTCCTGATGGTGGAAAACCCGCGCCCCAGCACGGAAGTGGTCTTCTGCGTCAGGAGAATTGGCGCATCAAGCCCGGGCCGAAGGCGCAGAATCCCGCCTCTTGACAGCCCACAGAGGAAGTCGGTCGGGCCGAGAGCCACGACGCGAGTTACCTTGGGGAGGAGGGGGAATGTTGTTGTGGTTTTTGGGGTTGTTGTCGGTGTCGTTGTCGGGAGTGTTGTACTACATAGTTGTTGTTTTTTGCTGCTGTTGTTGATGATGTCGGCGCTTTCATGAACATCACGACCACTGATGAAATACCACGCACCGGAGGGTGGAAGGAGAAAACTTGGGGGGAAAATGTACACACCAAAAGGAAGAAAGCGCGCTTGTTTTACACACCGTGATTCGGCCCGGCCACACGAAATCCAAGGTCCGAAAGTATATACCTAAACAACACGCCCACACACACAAGCGCTCGCTTTGTTTCCCGCTAAAAAAAATGCCAACGCCCTTCAATGCGCCAGCCGGTTAGCGCAGAAGTCGATGCCAAACTACACACACACACACACACACAGCCTTGCCGCGCCAGAAAAAAAACTCCCATGACCCCAAAAAAACAGTTGGAAACAGCCTCGTCACAGCAGTGGACGAGGCTCAATCTAGAGATAGCCAGGTCGGTCCTCTGTCCAACAACAAAGCCTCACCGACTGACCGCGGACCACGGAGCGCGCGTCGACTACCTTGAACCGCCGCGGGCTGTGGAGGTCGGGCCAGTGGCGCGCCTGCCCTTCCGGGGAAACCAGCAGCACCTCCCTGTTTCCCCGGCATGCCTCCCAGGGCTGGCTGACGGCCACAAGGTCGGCGGCTTCGACCGAAACTATCGCATTTTGGGGGGGGGAGAGGGTTGCACCAGCGAAGAAAAAGCGACGAACAGAGGCTGTGCGTGGGCACTTGCGTGGGCGTTGATTTGGTTCCGGGAGGGAGCCGGCCCACGACGGGCATGGTTCGGGAAGACGCGCGCACTTCGCCACATTTCCAAGGCCGTGCGGCGGGAATGTTTTTCCAACTTAGCGGTTCGGTCCGGCGTGCAAGTGGAGCTCATCGCCGACGTTTCAATGAGGAGACACGAAAAGCGAGAGTCCGCGCACCGTGTGCACGTATGCACTTGAATGTCCCATGGGCAAGAAAAGTGCGTACTACCAACAGCGGTCCTTTGCCTGAAAAGGAGCAACGCGACCAACGGCAAGGTTGCGTAGGTTCCTCGAGGGTGCAGCAAGTCAGCCCTTCCCCCCCCCCCCCCCCACTTGCGAAAGGCGCACGCAGTAACATTGCGCCCGGGCCTCACCACAGTTACTGCTGCAACCAGTGCTTCGGTTC